TTTAAATAAGATAGTCAAGTGTGAAGCACACTATTAACAAAACCCTTTGATAGTATGACCTTCTGAGATTATTGCACAGCTGCAATTTGACAATTTTTTTTAAATGGAGATATACATATCTCCTAGAACTGGAAGGGACCCTGAAAGGTCCTTGAGTCCAGCCCACTGCCTTCACTAGCAGGACCAAGTACTGATTTTGCCCTAGATCCCCAAGTGGCCCCCTCAAGGATTGAAATCACAACCCTGGGTTTAGCAGGCCAATGCTCAAACCACTGAGCTATCCCTCCCCCGACAATTGTATACAACAATCCACAATTGTTGCTGTACATGGGATAGTTGCATAGTGCAGATTCCCCTCTCCCAGTAATTCTGTATTGAAGACATTTTCTAATTTCTTACCATGGACCTTTCTTACAGTATATTCTCTCCAATATTATTGTTTAGTTCGACATTCTGTTTGGTGATCCCATAGTTAACTCCTTTCACGGCAACGTTTTTGATAGAATTCCAAATTAACTTTTTAACTTTCATGTATCTATGTGTTGCAATATGTTCAGCCAAGCTGAGGTCCCTCCTCTTGATATGATGCAGTCATTCTATGAAGCCATGCTGTTTTCTTTGTTCTATTCATCAGTGATACAGACTTGTCTGAACCCACACAACAAAATATCAAAGAATGAGTGTGATGGAGTATACAAACCCCACCCTGGACAACACGGGGCTAGGGAGCAACTCTAAGCTCAGCCAACTCTGCCCCGCCACACCTGCAAGGCATGCATGGGCTGGAGGAGGAGCTTAAAAGGGGACCAGAACATTTCACTTGTTGGCAGACCATTCAGCTCCTAAGGAAAGGAGCCAAAGAAGGCAGGTGCTTCCCAGATAGTAGCCCCCTCCCTGAAAATCATTCTCCTCTGTCTCTTACTAATTCAGTTTATTTGCATTAATTCCCCTTGCTTTTTGTTATTCCAGAAGGGGAGAAACTTTAAAGTGACCTATCCAGAGGGCCAAGTCACAGAGGCTGAGCAGCCATTGGCAGAGGCACCAGTGGGGAGAGAGCTGCTATACCCTGCCCGGACATTAGGAGGCACCAGCAGTGAGTTGACTCCTTCACATGAGACAGTCTGAACACAGGACTAGGGGCCATGACTGCTGTATTCTGATCCCACCACCACCACCACCAACACTGATACTTTATGAAACTTTGGATAATTCATGAAGACATCAATTCAGCAAGGTATTTAAGCACCTGCTTAACTTTAAGCATGTGAGTCATCAGTGGGTTAACTCACACAGAATCATAGAAATATAGGACTGGAAGGGACCTCAATAGGTCATTTAGTCCATCTCCTGCACTGAGGCAGGATTAAAGATTATGGAGACCACCCCGAATGGTGTTTGTCTAACCTAGTCTTAAAAACCTCCAATGACAACCTCCCTAAGTAATTTGTTCCAATGCTTAACTACCCTTACGGTTAAGAAGTTTTTCCTAATGTCCAACCTCAAACTCCCTTGCCTTCTTGTCCTGTCCTCAGTGGATAAGGGAAGCAATTTATTACACTCCTTTTTATAACAACCTTCTATTTACTTGAAGATTGTTATCATGTCCCCCCTCAGTCTTGTCTTCTCCGGCCTAAACAAACTCATTTTTTTCAGTCTGTCAAACTAACATGTTTTAAGTTAAACAGGTGCTTAAATGCTTTAATGGACTGTTTTCCCATCTGTTAAAAATTTGTTTTTCTAACCCCCTGGGAGGAAAGAAAGATAAGTAAGGGGCTGGTACTTAGAATCATAGAACTGGAAAGGACCTCGAGAGGTCATCAAGTCCAGTCCCCTGCACTCGTGGCAGGACTAGTTATCTAGCTAGACCATTCCTGACAGGTGTTTGTCTAACCTGCTGTATAAAAATCTCCAATGATGGAGATTCCACAACCTCCCTAGGCAATTTATTCCAGTGCTTAACTACCCTGACAGTTAGGACGTTTTTCCTAATGTCCAACCTAAACCTTCCTTTCTGCAATTTAAGCACATTGCTTCTTGTCCTATTCTCAGAGGTTAAGAAAAATAATTTTTCTTCCTTCTCCTTGTAACATACTTGAAAACTGTTATTGTGTCCCCCCTCAGTCTTCTCTTTTCCAGACCAAACAGATCCAATTTTTTCAATCTTACCTCATAGGTCATGTTTTCTAGACCTTTAATCATTTTTGTTGCTCTTCTCTGGACTTTCTCCAATTTGTCCACATCCTTCCTGAAATGTGTTGCCCAGAACTGGACACAATACTCCAGTTGAGGACTAATCAGAGCAGAATAGAGCAGAAGAATTACTTCTCATATCTTGCTTACAACACTCCTGCTAATACATCCCAGAATGATGTTCACTTTTTTTGCAACTTCGTTACACTGTTGACTCATATTTAGCTTGTGATCCACTATGACTCCCAGATCCCTTTCCGCAGTACTCCTTCCCAGGCAGTCATTTCCCATTTTGTATGTGTGCAACTGATAGGAAGGAACAAAGTGAAGTACTTTGCATTTGTCCTTATTGAATTTCATCCTACTTACTTCATACCATTTTTCCAGTTTGTCCAGCTCATTTTGAATGTTAATCCTATCCTCCAAAGCACTTGCAACCCCTCCCAGCTTGGTATCATCCGCAAACTTTATAAGTGTACCTTCTATGCCATTATCTAAATCATTGATGAAGATACTGAACAGACCCAGACCCAGAACTGATCCCTGCGGGACCCCACTCAATATGCCCTTCCAACTTGTCTGTGAACCACTGATAACTACTCTGGGAACAGTTTCCCAACTAGTTATGCACCCACCTTATTGTAGCTCCATCTAGGTTGCATTTCCCTAGTTTATTTATGAGATGGTCATGCGGGACAGTATCAAAAGCTTTACTAAAATCAAGATGTACTACGTCTACCACTTCCCCCATCCACAACGCTTGTTACTTAATTAGTGTTTCTAAAATTCTTTGAAGATAAGCACTCAAGTGCATGTCCTATGTATTATTATGCATGTCCTCATGTATTTAAATTAGAAATGGGCCCGAACCAAACCACCATCTCAGAACACCATGGACTTTCAATTGGGAAAGCAGAGAGGGATCAGAATCAAAATGCAGGTTTTTATAGCTCAGACTCATTTCCAATCTCAATGGAAAAACCCGCTGCCTCCATAGAGATAATGAGAATAAGAGTCTAAAAGATATAATGATTTAAGAGGCTAAAAGAGAGGACCATACAAACTGATCTGCTTATAACTCCCTTGCTGCTCTTGCACACCTCAGAGCGTTGGCGGTATCTGGAAGTACTGATCCTGACATACCCCTGTTTTTAATGCTGAAGGCAGGATGTTGAAAGAAAAAAAAGAGAGAGACTTTGGCGTCTCAATTTATAATGGAACAATTAAGCAGAGCTGTGTTGAAAAAATGCACCCAGAAATGGAAAGCAATGTCTGTAAGCAACAGAAATGGGGTGGGAGGGGAGAAGGATAGGGAAAGCCCCTATATGAATTTAAGGTTTTTCGTGGTTCCTAGAATTGCGGTGCTTTTACCTGTAATACGCTCCACCTTTGCCATGCCATAGCCCATAGTGTAATTTACTCTAGCCCAGTTATATACTTTTGGGTTGTAGATACCTGTTTATTATCACCAGAGCTACTAATTAAAAAAAACCCCGAAACTATATATTAGCTGCATCTGTGCAGCCACGAATTAATGTACTTTTGCCACCAAACTGTCAACACGCCTTGTATACTTCTCATGCGCATGTAAAAATATGATTTTTATATATGGCTTGCTGGTAATTGACTTAGATGTTCTCAAACTTTGTGATCCCAGCTGGAAAAAAGTTTATGGCACCATAAATTTACTCTTATCACACAGCTCTGCACTCAAGAACAGAAATGTGGGGAAACTTGCTCATTGCAGGAGTCACCTGCCTCAGACATTCAGGCACACTGCCAACTAACTAAAACGAGACACAAGGTGGATGAGGTAATATTTGCTATTGGATCAGCTTCTGTTGGGGAAAAAGACAAGCTTTTGAGCTACACAGTGCTCTTCTTCCTCACCCATCTTGTCTCTCCAATAGCCTGGGACCCAGATTCCTCCAACACTGCAAACAACTTACTAAAGTGTCATGGGCTTGCATTGCTCCATGTCATGTGATGTGGGTCTTTTATTGTATTGGCGATGTCTTTTATGTGAGTTTACTAAGACATCTTTCTGCTGATAACCATAACATAACCAGACATGAAGAAGAGCTCTGTGTAAGCTCGAAAGCTTGTTTCTTTCATCAACAGAAGTCGGTCCCATAAAAGATATTACCTCACCTACCTTCTCTCTCTCATATCCTGGGACCAACACAGCTGCACTAACAAAACAAACCATAATAGTGCCATATTTGGTTAACCAGGGAGTACAATCCATTCTCTCCCTCAAAACTCCAAGGTTATTGACTTTTTTTAAAAAGTATTTTCAGCTCTACAACAACACACAGAAATGCAATGTAAAACCAACATTATATATATAACTTCCTTTCTTTTATTCAGTCAGAATTTTCTCTTATAATCAAGATGTATTAAAACTAAGAGTTTAGTAAATTGAAAGAAAGATAGAGTCTGAAATTTCACATTCCCGGGACGTTTCCCCCCATATATGCTAAGAGGGCCACCAAATTAAAAAAAAATCCTTATGATTTTTAAGCAACATTCATGATAAGTAGCTGGAAAGGCAAACTTCTCTTTCTTACCATCACAAAGTAATAGTGGAGATATATGTACAGTAAATGACTGATCTTTTGGGGATATCTTAATTGGAAGCAGAAAGCTTCCTTTGTCTGTTTTCTAGTTGTAATGAAGTGAGTCGAAGCTGAATGAAATAATGTTGTATAAATGACTCACACGTTATCTGACTCATACTAACGTTCTCTCTCCTGGAGGTGTCAGAAATATTTCAGTGCATAAGTAAGAATGCTCTGGTTACTGCCCGGAAGATTGGAACATAGTGATGATCTTGCCTGATGCTACTCTGCAGTTTCCAAGCTATGACCGTAAGTCATTCAGTTCCAAGATGACCTGATTTCTTGTCATAATTGTTTGTTGAGTGATGATACTTGGCACTGTATGGAATATAGGAAACATGGTGATTCCATGAGAGGTTTAAACCCTCGCTCAGCCCCAGGCCCCACCCGCACACCACCCCTTCCCCCAAGGCCCCATTCCCACCTCCACCCCCCTTCCAGCCCTACCCCTCCTCTTTCCCACCTCTTTCCGCCCGCTCCACCGAGCGTGCCCCATCCCTGCTCCTCCCCCTCCCTCCCAGTGCCTCCTGCATGCCGCTGAACAGCTGTTCTCCGGTGTGCTGGAGGCACTGGGAGGGAGGGGAAGGAGTTGATCAGCAGGGCAGGCAGCCCCAGACATGACTCGTGGACCCCCTGGAGCCAGACGTGACTCGCGGACCCCCTGGAGCTGGACATGACTCGCAGACCCCCTGGAGTACCTTCGCTGACCCCCTGGGGTCTGTAGACCCCAATTTGAGAACCGCTGCTATAAGCAATAATTAGGACACAGGCCACCAAGTGGCCAACGGTTGTATTCATTACAAAGCAGTATGGAAAATAGTTTGCTTTAAATTAAAATTAGTTGGTAAATTGTAACTGATAGATTTTTTGCTTATCCAAAACACAGTCTTTGGGTGAAAGGGATTGTTAATCATATCTCTTCATGACATTAGTATTTAACAGCTACAGTATATAAACACACATTTATTAAAGGGCATACTCTTTTGTTTCTCTGTACTTGACTGTAGATATTGAGTACAGACATCTTCAAACAAAGAGTATGTAAGACCGTGTTTCTCTCACTTATCTTTCACTTATTTGAGGGAACATGCACAGTTGTTCACCTGCATTACATTTTTCCATTTGATCTTATTACGGTCAGTATGTGCATCATTTGGCATCTCCTTTAAAGGTCAGGGCAAGTGACAGCAGGTTATACATGAATAAAAGCATCCATTTCTACTCACAGAAGATCTCTACAAAGGTGTAAGGTCTATATTTTTATCCAGGAATCAGATTAAGACAACATAACTTCCATGGATTTGTGCTGACTAATTTAATCATGTTGGAACCATTAGTGTAATAGAAATTGAGTTTGTATAGTGTTTAAGCAGCATTTTCAGGGAGTTAAAATTTAGCTGTGAAAATTAGCTCTGGCTTCAGTTTGACTTGCTTGTACTTACAATAGAGCAGAGCAGACAGTTGGGGGGGGGGGAAGTCTTTACAAACGTGTTCACAAATACTGAATCGCAAATTGATCCAGCCATTTTTGCATCTTTTTTTATTTGCCTCTGAGAAAATTTGTGTAAACAGCTTTGTTTGGGGAAGAACTTTTAACTATGCAAACGCATCTATTTACATGTAAACGAATGTACTCATATTTAACTGTGTAGGTAATACAAACTGACTTTTTGTTTGCAGTATTGTAGCCATGTGGGTCCCAGGCTATGGGAGAGACAAGGTGGGTGAGGTAATATCTTTTGCTAGACCAACTTCTGCTGGTGAAAGAGACAAGCAGTTGAGCTACAAACTTCTTCTTCAGCTCTAGAAAGTGTAGTCAGAGCTGCAGCTGCACCGATGCAACTGTGTCACTGTAAGCTCTCTAGGTTAGCTGCTCTAAGCTGATGGGAGAGATCTGTCCCATCAGCTTAATTATTCCAGCCTCCATGAGCAGCGGTAGCTCTCCTGCTGACACAGTGCTGTCCACACCGGCGCTTATTTTGGTATGACTTACATCGCTCAGGGGGGTGGTTTATTTACACCCCTGAGCGACAGAAGTTATGTTGACATATGCTGTAGTGTAGACATAGCCAGAGTGTCACAGCTAAATACAAGGTGGGACAGATTATTTAGCATAAGGGGTAAACACATGATGCAGGAGAGCATTTAAAATGAAGTGGGCAATTAACACATCTGCAGTCATAAGACAAAGAGGGGAGAGCAGGTTACAGTTTGTGATAATGAATCATAAAACCAGTACCTTTGTTGAGTCCATGATATTTAGAATCTAAGGCTATGTCTACACTAAAGCTTATGTTGACATAACTTATGTCACCCTGGTATGTGAATAAACCACCATCCTCGAGCAACATAAGTTACCATTTCATAAGCGTGCATCTTCGCGAGATGCGCCACTGCAGCACTGTACGTGTAGAAACGTCCTAGCAGAATTATGAATTTAAGCTCCCAGGCTCGTCTTTTGAAGGTGTTGTGCAGGTTCCTTTTGAGGACGAGGACTGTGAGGTCAGAGATGGAGTGATTACTTTGTGAAAAATGTTTGCCCTCTGTGATGGGGTGTTTTTTATCTTCATCATTTTTCTGTGTGAGTTCATTCAAGACGATAGCAATTGTCTGGTTTCACGCCAGTAGTTGTTGGAGAATTTGATGCACTGGATGAGGAACATCACATGTTGTGATAAGCATGTGGAGGACCCATGGATCTTGAAAGATGTGTTGTAAGAGGGAGAATTGATCATTGTAGCAGTGGAGATGTGTCTGTCGGTTTTGCATCTGTTGTTCTGGCAGTCTGGTGCTGCTTTGAATCGGTGTTTCCTAGTCTGTGGGAAACTTGCCTCTGGTGATGAGTTTGGAGAGATTGGGGCCAAATGAAAGACAAATGACAGGGGGTCAGGAAAGATTTCTTTAAGGATGGAGTCCTGTACAAGAGTTTGCTGGGGCTTGACTCTCTGCGGGTGGCGGGGAGCCACACCGGCTCACTACACACCGGTGAGCTGGGGAAATTTGTCCGGCCGTGGGGTCTCCCTCGGCAGCTGTTGCTGTAGCTGGAAGAACACGGTAAGCCTGGCCCTGCTCAGGGCAGGGCAACAAACGCTGAGTCAGAAGCTCAGGTCCTCAGTCAGGGCTGAGCAACAGTAGAAGGCCCAAGTCTCAAAAGGCCTGGGAGAGGGGGAGCCACCCACTCCACTGCGTCCCAGCTGGGGCCCTAGCAGAAGACCCGCTGCTGTCAGTGGGGATCCTGGCCGCAACACACTGACATGGGCTCTGGCAGTGCTGCAGCCCGACTGGGGTCGGCTGCCCCTGGGCTACTTCCATACTCCCCCTCGGGGCCTACCTGGGGGCTGGTGTCAGTCTCAGGGGAATCCAGGATCGTGGGTTCGGCAGGACAGGGATTGATTGGCAGGTCCGGCAGCTCCTCCGGATAGCGGGCGCAGGGCAGGCCCAGCCAGTCCTGGCGGCTGCCTTGGGCCGCAGGGTCTTCCCAGCCATGAGCTAGGCTGGAGATGTCTGGTCTCTGGCGGCTGGGGCCTGACTGGGCTGTGAGGGCGAGCTTTTATACTTCCAGGTCGCCACCTGACCCTCTGAGGGGCAGGCTCAGAGCTCCCTAGCTCCACCCACTCCGGCCTCCGGATGGGTTCTCCCCCCTCCGGGGTGGCGGGGAGCCACACCGGCTCACTACAGGTCCCCATCAAGTATGGTTTGTAAGTGTTTGATGATATCCTGTACACATTTCAGTGTGGGGTGGTTGGTGACAACTAGGGGTGTGTGGTTGATGGGTTTTTGTTTGTTTGTCTGGTGTACTGAAGCAGGTTCTCTAGGGGTACTAGGGTGGCCCATTTCATGATGCGATCTACTTCTCTGGTTCAGTGTCCTTGTTTGGTTAAAGAGGTTTAAGTGTGTTAAGGTGTGTATCCTGGACTTTCTTTCTGGAGTGTACTCTGTGGTATCTGAGTGCCTGGCTGTAGATAACAGATTTCTTGGTGTGTCTTGGGTGGTTACTGGATGTGTGGAGGTATGTGCGTAGCTCTGTAAGTTTCCTGTATATGGTTGTCTGTAGGGTTCAATTGCTGAAAGTGATTGTAGTGTCCTGGAAGTTGATGCTGGTGACTCCAGATGTGTTAATTGTGCACTTCATCTTAAATGCTGACTGGCAACATGTGTTTATCCCTTATGCTAAACAATCTGTCCCACCTTGTATTTACCTGTGACACTTCGATTAACTTTTTCAGACCTGACGAAGAGCTCTCTGTAGCTTTAAAGCTTATCTCTTTCACCAACAGAAGTTGGTCCAATTAAAATATATTACCTCACCCACCTTGTCTCTCTCACAAACTGACTTTGAAAGTCCTACCTGAGTCACCTCACTTGCAAACACACAAACAACTGAATGATCATTCAGAATAAAGAGCAATGAAAAGGGGGGCTGCGGGGAGATACTTGAGCAGCAGAAAGACACCTTACCTTTGCAAGCATTCCAGACCCAGAACATGGACTGATATGTCCACAGGTGGATTCAGTGCCAATGGAAAGCCACACAATGAAGTGGGTCTCTGTGGGATATTTGGTTCTGAAGCCATTCACGCATGTGATATCAAAGGGTCACTGCCAGAGACGGGGGCAGCAGCCTCTATGTCAATTAGTCTTGACGGTTTATCTCTCGCTCCCCTCCCCGTCCAAGGCAGAAGAAAATAACCAGTGCCATTTTTAAATATGGGATCCTCAAATGTAGCCACAATATAATAATCTTTTTTATATATTTCTCTGAGGTGGCAATTACCTGCCCACATTTTTTTTCTGCCACGTCATTATCCTCTTACAGCTTAACCACAGAAGTTATTTTGTTCCAATACACAGATCAATGGAATGACCTAGCAACAACCAGCATCATTCCCACTCATAAGCCTTGTGGCATCATCATAGAGCCCTGGGAGTCTGATCAGTGGTTAATCTCCTGATGAAAAGGGCAAGTGACCCTCTCTCTGGGCCTGAGAAAGGACAGATAGGTAAAAAGCCTAGATAGCAATGCACTACTTAGAGAGGCGGCTCAACATGTGGTGTGTAGCATTCCAGCTTCTGTTGAGGATGGTGAAGTTGATGCTTTAGCTGGTGTAACTACTTAATGTGCATAACATTCAATGATAATTTAAACCATTTTCTGTTCAACAAACTTGATTTTTGTGTGAATGTATGAGTTATTTGCCAGTATTCTTTGGATAGTTTATGCTAACAAATTTAAATAACATGCAAAATGT